GCCCTTATTTGATGGGACTAGGAAAAAGTCATTTTTCAAAATTATCTATTTTTTTTACCTCTTGGAAACTTAGTGGCCTTAGCGGTTGTTGAGCTTCTGTCTTTTGTGTTAGATGTAATGGTTGATCACTGTAGTCTTTGAAAGTCCCCTGGCACTTCTTGCAAAAATTGGGGTGTTAGCTAGTGTTCTGGATAAATCTCAGTATGAGTAATTATACATGCTGCCCATTTAGATTTCTCCCTGCAACTACCATCAGACACACAGGCTCAATTCCATCCCTGGTGTATGTAACATCACCATGATGTGATGTATTTATTTGTTTATAGGATAATGAGTTCCACCAGTATTTATGTAATGGTCTTCCCTCCTCCTCTCCTCTCCAAAATAGGTCTCAGATCGCTATCTGAATTCTCTGAAGAATTTCTCCTTACACATAGTCTAAATGGTAGTTAATGGACTTCCTTTAGGAATGAATTTGGCCCCATAGTTTTCTTTTCCTGTCCTTGAACATAGTGCAACATTGCTATGCTCTGTTAAAAAGTCAGTGTTTCATCCAGTTAACTGTACTTCACTGGTATCTATGTATTTATCTGACCTCAACATCATTGCATCAGAGCAATAAAGAAGTGAAGTGAATTCTGTGCATAGACACTGAATTAGACACTGAAACGAATTAATGGCCCTTATATTATGGTTTCCCTGAGAGATCTTACTAAATTTTACTTTTCTTAATTTTCTCTCATTACTACTGACATTCTTTAGGGCAATCCTAAATAATTCTTCTCTTTCCTTATTCGATATATATAGACTGTAATATTTTGTGTGAGAGATTGTAAAGCATTTTAGAATCCCTCAGGATGAATGGCACTATATAAAGGTAAGATATTAATCATTATTTTCATGAATTAGAATGCACAATAGTAGTGACAAACGAGCCTCTGAGGGGTTGAGTCTGACCTAAGCTTGGATCTAGGAACTGGCCAGTGTGACCATGATTTAGTCATACCAAACACAGCACTAAAATTAAGCTTTAATAGTTTGGCTGGCACTGTGTCACATAAGCTGAAAACAATAAGCAAGATAGCATCAAACAAAGGACACCATGATTGTTTTGCTACCCTCTGTGCATAGCATGTAGAATCATAGGGGCCGACTCCGTGGGTGCTCCGGGGCTGGAGCACCCACAGGGAAAAATTGGTGGGTGCTGTGCACCCACAGGCAGCTCCCCACCCCAGCTCACCTCTGCTCCACCTCCTCCCCTGAGCGTGCTGCGGCTCCGCTTCTCCCCCCCTCCCTCCCAGTGCATCCCGCCGCGAAACAGCTGATTCAGGCAGCAAGCGCTGGGAGGAAGAGGGGAGGAGGGGGAACATGGTGCGCTCGTGGAAGAGGCAGGGCCGGGGCAGGGATTTGGGGAAGGGGTCCCATAGGGGTGGGGAGGGGGCAGGGGCAGGAGTGGACGGGGTGGGGTAGAGGCGGGGCAGGGGGCAAGTGCCCACCGGCGCCTAGAAAAGTTGGCACCTATGTGTAGAATCATAGAAATTTAGGTCTGGAAGGGACTTCGATAGGTCATGTAGTCCAGTCCCTGCACTGAGGTAGAACTATCTAGACCCAAGGTGGGCAAACTATGGCCCGCGGGCCACATCCGACCCTTGGGACCGTCCTGCCCAGCTCTTGAGCTCCCGGCCGGGGAGGCTAGCCCCCAGCCCTCCCCTGCTGTTCCCCCTCCCCCACAGCCTCAGCTCACCATGCCGCCAGTGCTCTGGGCGGCGGGGCAGCGCGGCTGTCAGTCCTGCTGCTCTGAGCAGTATGGTAAGGGGCGGTTGGGGTGGGGGGTCCCGGGAGGGGGCAGTCAGGGGACAAGGGGCAGGGGAGGTTGGATGGGCCAGGAGTTCTGAGGGGGGAAGTCAGGGGGTGAGAAGTGGGAGGGGGCGGATAGGGGGCGGGGGCCAGGCTGTTTGGGGAAGCACAGGCCTTCCCTACCCGGCCTTCCATACAGTTTCAGAACCCCGATGTGGCCCTCAGCCCAAAAAGTTTGCCCACCCCGATCTAGACCATCCTTGACAGGTGTTTGTCTAATCATTGGAGGTTTGTAAAAAACCTCAACCTCCTTAGGTAATTTGTTCCAGTGCTTAACTACCCTTACAGTTAGCAAGTTTATTCTAGTGTCTAACCTAAATCTCCCTGGCTGCAATTTAAGCACATTACTTCTTGTCTTGTTCTCAGTGGATAAGAAGAACAATGTATCATTCTCCTCTTTATAACAGCCTTTTATGTACTTGAAGATTGTTATCATGTCTCCTCTCAGTCTTCTCTTCTCCACACTAAACAAATCCAGTTTTTTCAATCTTTCCTCATAGGTCTTGTTTTCTAGACTTTTAATCATTTTTTGTTGCTCTCCACTAGACTTTCTCCAATTTGTCCAGCTCTTTCCCAAAGTGTGGTGCCCAGAATTGGACTCAGCACTCCAGCTGAGGTCTTGTCAGTGCTGAGTAGACTGGAAAAATTACTTCTTGTGTTTTGCTTACAACACTGCTATTAATAATCCCAGAATGATGTTCACTTTTTTTTTGCAACAGTATTACATTGTTTACTCATATTTAATTTGTGATCCACTATACTCTTTTTTGCAGTACTCCTTCCTAGGCAGTCATTTTGTTTGTGCAATTGATTATTCCCTCCTAAGCGTAGTACTTTGCATTTGTGCTTATTGATTTTCATCCTATTTATTTCAGACCATTTCTCCATGGAAAACTAAATAGGTGCATCAGAGTACACCACATGTGAGTGTCAGGGAGTCATATGCTTTTTCACTATTTCTGCCAAAGTGAGCACTTCAAAAAAAAATCTCCAAAGGCATTTTTAAAGAGAGGTTTTTTAATTATAAAGGGTTTCTTTTTTTTCACGTGTGATTACAAATGTAACACAGAGTCTATGACAATGACTAATGGTCTATAAATACCTAAGACAGTTATCATACTGTTGATGTCATGCTTACAGAAATGTAGGCCATGGACAGGTAGTGAAGACATTGTTAAACAGAGATCAGCGTGGAGGGGTGAAGGGAAGAGGTACTCATAATAACTTGCCCCCTCTCTATTCAGTCTCCCCAATCCCTGATGGTTGTTGCCCATACCCTTGCTGCCACTGTCTCCTCTCCAGGCACCTGTGCCATTTCTCACTCTCTGAGGGGCACGTAGGCACAGACTGGATACTAATGCTGCTTCTAGTAACACTCATTTCTGTTCGGATAGCCATGCAGCTTTGAGGAAATCATGTGATGGGCTGCTCCCTGCCTCCTATCCTTGGCATTCTTCCTTTCAAACCACAGAGCTGAAGCCACATAATGCTGGTGGGGGGAGGGATAGCTCAGTGGTTTGAGCATTGGCCTGCTAAACCCAGGGTTGTGAGGGAGCTGGGGAAAAATCAGTACTTGGTCCTGCTAGTGAAGGCAGGGGGTTGGACTCGATGACCTTTCGGGGGTCTATGAGATAGGTATATCAGTTCTATGAGATAGGAATATCTGTATATATATATATATTTTATATTTTATTTATTTTGGTGAAGAGAAGCTTGTCAGGCTCCACAGGAAGGGGAAGGGAGCATGTTCAGTGGTTTTGCTTCCTCTCTGCTTCCTCTCTGCATTTAGGGCAGGGACAGGCAAAGTTTTTGGCCCAAGGGCCACATCTGGGAATAGAAATTGTATGGCGGGCTAACAAAATTGGGATTGTGGTGTGGGAGGGAGTGAGGGCTCTGGTTGAGAGTGCAGGCTCCGGGGTGGGGTCAGAAATGAGGAGTTCAGGGTGCGGGAGGGGGATCAGGGCTGGGGCGAGGGGTTGGGTGTGGGAAGGGGTGCAGGCTCCGGCTGGGGGTGTGGGCTTTAGGATGGGGCTGGGGTTGAGGGGTTTGGGGTGCAGGAGGGTGCTGTGGGCTGGGATCGAGGGGTTCAGAGGGTGGGATGGGGATCAGGGCTGGGGCGGGGGGTTAGGGCACAGGGAGAGGCTCAGGTGTGCAGGCTCCAGGCAGCGCTTACCTCAAGCGGCTCCTGGAAGCAGCAGCATGTCCCTTCTCCGGCTTCTATGCGGAGGTGTGGCCAGGTGGCTCTGCACGCTGCCCTGTCTGCGGGCATCGCCCCTACAGCTCCCATTGGCTGCGGTTCCCAGCCAATGGGAGCTGTGGGGATGGCGCTTGGGGCAGGGGCTGCATGCAGAGCGGAGCCGCCTGGCTGCCCCTATGTGTCGGAGCTGGAGGGGGGGGCATGCCGCTGCTTCCGGGAGCCGCATGAAGTGGCCCCCGACCCTGCTCCCTGGCTGGAGCTCACTCCCCCGTGGGAGCTCAAGGGCCGGATTAAAACAGCTGGAGGGCTGGATCCAGCCCGCAGGTCGTAGTTTGCCCACCCGATTTAGGGGCTGATCCAAAGCCAAATGAAGATAACAGAGAAACTCCCATAAACTTCAGTAGGCTTTGGATCAGACCCTTTAGAGGGTACCATTCACAAAACTCCACTTACACTATACTCTGTAAATAAAGCTGGACACTCAAAAATATTATTGTTTTCTCCTTAAAGTTCCCATTCTGCTAGTTGCTGAGCACCCTCCAGTTCCATTAACTTTGGTGAGAATGGATGCAGCCCATCACCTAGCAGGATCAGGCCTTTACTACATATCCACTTTCTCTGTGCACACTACTGTAACCAAAAAGGGAATGATTTTCCTTGTCTTTATTTAGAGATGGGCCTAAGCCACAAAATTCAGATTCAAACTTTACCAAAGCTGAGCGGGTTTTGTATCTGGGTTTTGGTGCACCCCACTGTAAAGATAAGGGTGGTTTGCAAAGTCTGGATCCAGATTTGAACATCCCTGTGTTTTGGGGGGTATTTGGATCCAGGGTGGTGTTTCTGATGCGTCTCAGTTTTATTGTTTTCTCTTCGTACGGGTGGTGATGGCCATCACAGTGTCCACTCAACCTCTCTAATCTTGTCTATAACCTCTTGCCTATTTCAGCAATTAACTGGCCAGCCCATGAAGAGAACCTAGATGACTGCAGTCACTAAGGAGTTACAGTTTGCACACACAACGAGGGGAAATTTTGGATGCGTGTAGGCAGCCAATAAAAGAGGAGATAAACAATGCAGCTGACTCATACCCAGCAAGGCTTAGACTGTGACTGCATCACTGTTCCAGGCAGATCGCAGCTCTTTGTTGCAGTCGCACTAGCTCACTCCTGTAGTCTCTATGCCCACACGTCTGGAGGTAAGTCTCAATATTCTTTGTATGTTTGTTTTCACTTATTTTATTTGTACACTGAAACATTAAATCAGCCCCCAGCCACACTTCCCTCATATGGATGGAAACACTTTCACTGTGAATTAAGCATAAAGGTAGTTTTTAAAGGATTAGCTCTTATAATGCAGGATTTTCCAGTGTGTTTCAATGAGACATTTAAAGCCTCTCACAACTTTCTGTAGTCCTCCTCATTCAAACTGCCAGCCTTGACAAGCTGTGGTTAGAAACCACATGGTAGTGTGGGCAGTAAAATGATATTGGATTTTAAAAGGAGTAAAATCTCTATACCCAGAAGAGCAGAGCTGTTGGTAGTGCAGCACTGAGAGCTTTTTTCCCAATGAAGGATCCTTTTGCATCCCATTTAGGGACGGATTCTGCCACTCTTACTGACATTAAATAGTACCTTAATCTGTGATTAGTCCCACTGACTAGTTCTGAAATAAGGTAATTCTCAATGTATGTAAAGGTAGCAAAACTGGAGTTTCTGATTTTAAGGTCAGATCCTCACTTGATGTAAATCGGCAATTTACAGATGAGTTGAGAATCTTGCCCAAACCTCTAGATGTATGGGGGGAAATCCTGCTTCCAGCTGTAGTTCATTTGTATAAAAACAAGAAGTGGTGAAAACATGTCATTCTGGTTTTCAAAACCTCTTTGGTCAGGGTTAGATTTTGCAAAACCAAAATATGGGGGTGATTCAGATCTGCTTCTTTTTTTATTTGTGCCACCAAAGTTTCAATAATTGATTCCAGTTTTACCTAGTTCTCTTTTTAAAATAAAAATAAGCAAAACCAGGAGCGATTTGGAGCCAAGGGTCATTATTAGACTCTTTTTTCGAACCCGAACATTTAGAGATTTGAGTAAACGGTTCTGGTTTTACACATTTTTAGAGATGAAAAATGATTTTTGTTTTGCAAACCTTTTGATTGTTTATTTTTCTCCACAGAAACCAAAACTAAATTTAGGTTCCACTTTATCCAATCCCCATAATATTTGAGGAATAAATGGTTCTTTTTTTTTTTTTTTTTTGCCTGTCTCTGATTTGGAAGAGCTTTGTGTAATTTTGCACGTAAAATGACTGGGCTGGCTCTGTTGGTCTCATGCCATATTGGATGTGTCCTTTACAAAGTACACTGCTTGAAGCAGATGTATATGAAAAAATAGATTATGTTCTTAACCTCTTCATTTTGGGCATCAGAGAAATCTCATGTGTCTATAATCTTTCCTTCCACGTAGTTGTTGCCATCCAGCTCAATAATTTGTTCATAGCAGCATAGAGAGGATCAGTCACAACCCTGCCTGCCTCTGAACTGAGCCAACAAAGTCATTCTGAGAGGCCATCATATAGCTACTGAATGAGTGCCTTGTTTTAATAGTTTCTGCAGGAACCACAGCTCGTGCCTTCAGATTCAGTCTAGAATGTTGTTGTTTAAAATAAAAAGCAAAGGGTCTAACCCATCTTGTTGCATCAAACTTACATTAGACTGGGGAATTTTATTAGTCAACCAATGGACATTTTAGTCTGATTATTATATGAATTAGGGTAGCACTTGGAGGCATTAACTGAGTTTGGGACCCCATTGTGCTTTAGGTCAGGGATTCTCAACCTTTTTCTTTCTCAGTCCCTCCCCACCCCATGCTATAAAAATTCCACGGCCCATCTGCACCACAAAAATTGCTTTTTCTGCATATAAAAGCCAGGGCCAGCATTAGGGGGTAGCAAGTAGGGCAATTACTTGCGGCCCTGTGAAGCTAAGTTGCTCAGGCTTCGGCTTCAACCCTGGGCCCTAGCAAGTCTAATGCTGGCCCTGCTTGGCGGACCCCATGAAACCTGCTCGCGGCCCCTGAGTGGGCCCCAGACCCCTGGGTTGAGAATCACTAATCTAGGTGATATCAATATACAGTGTAACAGCCAGACCCTGCTTGGAAGACCTTGCAATTTAATTAGGCAAAATAGACAAAGGATAAAATAAAGGTGTGTGGTTATCCCCATTTTATAGATGCTCGGCTGAGTCACTGAGAGATTGTGATTTGCTCAAGATTACACAAGCTTTCTATGGCAGAGCTGGGAACTAGAATCAGACCTCCTGCATCCTAGTTTAATGCCTTAAGCACAAGACCACACTTTAGCTGAACCCTCAACTTAAAAAGAGAGTTCTCAACTTACACCCCTTACTCACTACTTAAATCTGCAGTTTAGAGCAGCATTAATTCCGGCATGGCTTTCTTAGGGGAAATCTGCTGAGTCTGAGGGGAGCATTCCATTTTGAGCTCTTATGACCCTCTGATCTCCAACCATGCAGTATTCTCATAAATGGGCTTCTGAAGACCCCTTTTCTTCCCTCTCTGTTTTCCTTGTCTCAGCTCTGTCTGTTCTTGTTGCTTTCTTTCAGCACTAAGTACAGGGAGTTTTATGCTCACTATATTTTTAAAACATCCTCACCTGTTATTAATAACACCTGACTCATACATTAACACAAAGTGGCTGTGTGGGAGGTTGTTATCTCTAGTCAATGTGTATTAAGGCACATATGCACGTGGCCCTAGAGATCTAGTATATATAACCAATGGGCCAAATTCTCTGCTGCTGTAAATGGGCATAGCTCCACTGGCTTCAGTAGAGTTTTGCCAATATACCACATCAGGGAATTTGGCCTTTTGTTTTGCTGTTCTGTTGACATACAGTATCCTAGTAAATAATGGCACATCTGTAAAGGGCATGGCTCTGGAGGTAGATTGGAATGGATTACTGCAGTGTTTCCCAAACTTGGGACGCCGCTTGTTTAGGGAAAGCCCCTGGCGGGCCGGGCCAGTTTGTTTACCTGCCATGTCCGCAGCGCCGGCTGATCATGGCTCCCACTGGCCGCGATTCGCCGCTCCGGGTGAATAGGAGCTGCGGGAAGCGGCGGCCAGTACGTCCCTCGGCCCGCGCCGCTTCCAGCAGCTCCCATTGGCCCGGAGCAGCAAATCGCGGCCAGTGGGAGCAGCGGTCGGCTGGACCTGCAGATGCGGCAGGTAAACAAACCGGCCCAGCCTGCCAGGGGCTTTCCCTAAACAAGTGGCGTCCCAAGTTTGGGAAACACTGGATTACTGCATTATTACAGTTTTTCATGGGAATTATCTTTCTGTCCAGCATGGAACTGTAAGAATTTTAATCTGTTGTTTCCCCAAATTATAACACTATCCTTGGAAGTCAAGCATTGTATTATATTAATGTAAATAGTGCCCCCATATTTCCAGGTGATTATAATGAGAACTGGCCATAATATTGAGCACTTAGCACCTCATATTTACAAATGGTAAGTAAACCTCAGGATGTCCCTGTGTGGTAGGTAAATTTTTTCCCTATCTTTAAAGGACAATCTGACCCAGAGTATGGTAATACGAAGCCTTTTGAATGAAGGTGAAGAGTAGTTTGGGGAAAAAAGCGTGGTGTAACTTCAGTGTACCTTGGCAATGATAACAAAAACAAATCTAAGGATGTCTGTTTTTCTTCAGTTCTCTCCCCCACTAAACGCCAGAAAATGGCTAATCTGATGCCCGTAATAGCCCAGGAAGAGCTGGATAACTTTATCTTCACCGGGACAAGTTCTGGCTTCGCCCTCAAAGCCTTTCATGCTCCTCAGAACATTAACGTATCACTGAAACTGCTGACCAGCCAGAATACAACAGAGAGGTGGGTGTCATATTTAATTTACTATATAAACAGCTCAGGAGGACAGTAGTGCAAAGAGGGTACCAACATGGACTGTAGCATTTCTGACCCCAGTTCACCTTTCCACTTCAGTGACTCCCACCTGATTAACAGAGACAAAGTGGAAGAAATACATTGAATTGCACTAGGTGAGAAATTTGACATACGTAATGACAATGGGGCTTGATCCTGAAGACATTATTAATAGTGTTGTGATTGCATCAAAGGACTTCAACCCATGTTCAGTGCACCGTTGTACTATGCACTATACAAACAAACACAAAGAGCTCACAATCTAAGTTTTAGACAAAACATGATAGGTGAATAAATGTACACATACGAGAAGAAAGGGAGAATGGACAATTGCAGTAGAGATAGGACTGAGTGCATATATTAGTCATAACCACAAACTTTGACACAAATGGATGTCAGCCTAACACTCACATAACTCCAATTTATTTCATTGGAGTCACAGGCTTATAGGGATTATGAAGTCAGGCCCATACTATTTTTTTAATGGTGTGGGACCAAATCACTCTAGTGAATGCACTCATTAGGCTCTCAGTTTCTTGAAAGGGTATCCAAGAGCAGAACATGGTCTTTTTAGTATCTGAGAAGTTTAGATCCTTAGCTGGGTTTTTTAGGCGGCATGCTTAAGCTGAAAAATTCAGATTTCAAATATTTTAAAGTAGGATATGGAGAGGTCGTTTTTCCCAAAACAAAGACAGGAACAATTGATCTAATCCAACTCAGATTTCAAACACCCCCTAAAATTCTTGGGGTGCTTGCATCCAAGGTTCCCATGTTTGGTCTTTGGTTGTGCTTGAGTCTAAATTCTTTCATTTATGGCATCCAAATTTGAATCTTGAAACAAGAACTAGTCTGTCTTTAGTGAGGGCCTCTATAGGGCTCAGGGCCCTGATCCAAATCCCACTGACGTCAAGGGAAAGACTTCCATGGAGGTGGGATCAGGCCAAAAATAAATTAAGTTTGAGAGTTCTGCTTTTTATTTTTTAAATTCAATAGAAGTGCAATAACTTACTAATCTAAAATAAGAATATATTTATTTGGTAGTTTTTGTAAAAGGCTTGCCCTCTTTCCCCTGTTTGCTCCCCACTTTTTGTTTAAATAAAAAAAAAGTTACATCAGACAACAAAAGCTAATAATTTATTTTCTCCTTTCTGGATTTAAAGTGTTGTTCTACTTATAAAAGTGATTATGGGAAAATGAACCTTCTTACTCATATCTGCTCTTTAAATGTCAAGTCTCTGTTTGTTCCCTCACCTCCCCCGCACTATTACCACTGTAGAGTGAACCCAGCAATGAGAATAAGATGGATTCTATCCTGCCCATCATTTGAACTGCTAACCTAGTTCCAATGTAGAAATCCATAGTGTTAGTAATGATGTTAAGAGGTAGAAATAAGCACAATTTGTATATAAATTTTGGAGCCACAATTTATTTATAAACACGGGTATTAACATACTGAATATCCATTCTGTTTGCAATGAAAAGGCTGCTTTCCTTCCTTAAAAAAGAATCCAACTTGGACTGCCTGGCCTGACTTTTCTAAACAATGCATGTTCAATTGTATATGTGAAAAGTGCCTGCACAGCTGCACATCTAACTTGAGTGTGCTGTTACTGCCACTGCCCATGCACTATCCATGCACAAATATATTTGATCTGGAAATCAGTGACCCCCAAATATGGAACTCACAATGTAATTTTTAGTCACTTCTCCCTATAACTGCATTTTTATATACTTCCCTGAATTGTCTATCACATGCACACCAGAGAGGATTCCAACAAAAAGCAAAAATACAGGAAGCAACTTTTACTACAATAGGACTGTGCTGCCCTGTCTTACATTTCCACCCTGCATTTCACAGTATTGTGCTCCAGCAGAAGGGCAGTTACCAGCAGCCTCTCGGGCACTGGCAAGCAGTGGGTGGGAAATTTGATCCACACCAGCTTAAAATAGTTTTTAGAGAATTTTTCTGAAATAGTCTCCCTCCTATGTTAGGAGTTGCTGGGGGGAGTGGGAACAGGAGCTGGTTTGGAAGACAGATGCTAGTTTGAGGAGTTGTCGGATATCTCCCAATCTCTTACACCAGTACATGGGACAGATCAGGGAATGGGCATCAGTTCAGGGATCAAAGAATCTCCTGCACGCTGCTGAGGCTGATCAGGGACCAGGAGCCATTGCATACAGCTAGGAAGCAAATACTATAGGGTCCAGGGTGCTAGCATTACCAACAGTGTCATCAGGCCAAATCCTGATGTCTTTACTCAGTTTTTACGTAGGCATACTCCCACTGAAGTCAATGAGACTGTCACTGAGTTCAACGGAAGTTTGCTGAAGCATGAGGAATCTAAGTTAAGATCTTAAGATTTATCAGAGAGGACCTACTGCAATAAATATATCCTACAGCCTAAAAACGTACCTAGAATAGAATAGCAAATCTGTGATTTACATGGTGTAATGTTTGGGACTGAATTAAGTTCCCAAACTTTGGAACAGTTGGGATCAGAAGCCAAACTATGCAGCTGGACCCTCTTCCTAACTATACAGATTTGTTTTTCAGCAGGAAACACTAACTGGGTTAGTCTTTAAAATAATGACAGGGGTTGAAATCCTGGTCCCATTGAATTTTACCATTGATTTCTATGGGCTGAAGATTTCATGCATAGAATCAGCAATTCAGAACATATTGCAGATGGGATCATATTTTTAAAGTTAAATGCAACTTAGGGAGGAATGATCCTGTAGCATAGGGGTGGCCAACCTGAGCCTGAGAAGGAGCCAGAATTTACCAATGTACATTGCCAAAGAGCCACAGTAATATGTCAGCTCCACCCCCTCCCCAGCGCTCCCAGCACCTCCCACCCACCGGCAGCCCCACTGATCAGCGCCTCTCCCTCCCTCCCTGCATGTCCTGATCAGCTGTTTTGTGGCATGCAGGAGGCTCTGTGGGGGGAGAGCAAGGGTATGGCAGGCTCAGAGGAGAGTGTGGGAAGTGGTGGAGTGGGGGCAGGGCCTGTGGCAGAGCCAGGGGTTGAGCAGTGAGCACCCCCCTGCACATTGGAAAGTTGGCGCCTGTAGCTCCAACCCCTGAGACGGTGCCTATACAAAGAGCCGCATATTAACTTCTGAAGAGTCGCACGTGGCTCCGAGTCCGGACCCAGAAGTTGGCCACCCCAGCTGTAGCAGAACCAGTTCATTTATCTTTCTTGAAACTGAACATTCTGATCAGATCCACAGATCAGTGCTACCATTGTACAACTGAACAAAGAAGTTATTGTCCAAAGTTCTCAAATAATCTTAATCTTCTACTGATTAGCAAAATCTGGTTTCCTTATACTTCTTAAAATACATCCCACTGAATTTAAGACTAAATCCAATCTGAGTAGAAGCAGATTCAGCTCCACTAAGTCCCTACAGTTACACCTACCACTTACACTAGGTCTGAATTTGGCCTCATGGCTTTAGCTTTACTCTCTGATGTGGTTTGATCCCAGCCATACAGGCAAGACAGGCTCTGACTGAAGCTGGTAAAATTTGCAGTGTAGAAGGGACCTCACTGATGGCATGAGGAAAACATACTTTTAGGGGAATGGCAGGAAAAAAAATCAGTTCAGAGCGGTCGTTTCTTCAGTTAGTTTAACTATCCCAAACATTCTTCCTGCCCTTGCATTTTAGATCCTGATAAATATATTTTGATACTAATGGAACTAGATTCTTTCTTGTACATTTTACAGTTTTAATGTGAAAGATGTTTTGTAGTCAAGAAAAGATGGTTGGTATTAAACACCAGCTAAGGGGAGTGGTGGGAAAACTCTACCAAATCATCCTTCTTTCCAATATCACACAATATGACTGTTACTCAGCATGTCTGTCTGAAATGCTGCCTCTTTAACCCCTGTTCTCTGCTTGCAGTGAGTTGAAGGTGCTACTCCAAGATGTAGCAAACACACGACGCATTCAGTCTGAACAGCTCCTGCCTTCTCTTGGGATCTACCAATCTCAGGGACTTCTGGGGGTCGTGACTGAATGGATGTGCAATGGATCCCTCCACTCACTCATCCACGAGGTAAGGAAGAGGTAGGGATCTTTTAGAGGGGCTCCTTTATGGGTGTTAAAACTGTTTAGAAGCAAGGGCAATAATAAAATGAGCAAACTGTACCTCAGTTATGGATATTAATTTTGCAATAGAGTTGCTAATACCTTTCACCTGTAGATCTCAATAGATAGTGTGAATAATGACCGCTTTATAATTCTAAAAGATATATACATATCTATATATATCGTGGAATATTACACTGAAATAAATGTTGATTTTTTAGCACCACCTGTATCCAGAATTGCCTTTTCCCCTACTCATGCGGATCCTGTCAGATGTGGCTGAAGGATTATATCATCTCCATAGACTAGATCCTCCTCTCCTCCACTACAGCCTGAAACCCTCCAATGTCCTTTTGGATACACAATATAGAGCTAAGGTGAGGCCCTTTTACATTTAGCTTTTTGTCTTCATTATTTTCTTGACATGAAACCAGAACAACTTCTAATATGCTTGATTATAGGATTATTTATCAGACATCTGTCCTAACATAAAATACCAGATCAATATTTGATACCAATAATGCCATATTGTTGCTACAATTCACCATTCACCCTTCTCTACAGATAACAGATTATGGTCTAACCTCCTGGAGGAAGCAGCAAAGATCAGTTCTGCAGAACTGCAATAGAAGCTGCTGGGATTTGGTATACCACTCTCCTGAAATACTTGAAGGAGGTGTACCCTCACAAGAAGGAGATATTTACAGGTTAGTACAGGTTTTTAAGGGAAAGTTATAGCTAAAGGAGACCTACTTCTGGAGAGCAATTCACATAGTATTGAATTAAATGTTTCTTTCAAGAAAATATTGTAAAATTATGCTACAGTGAAACCTACAGGTCACAGTGTTCCATTCAAATAACAGCTGTTACACATATCCTATCTGCATAACATTCCAGACTAAGAATATTGCAGCATTTAGTTAAACTTGAAATTCCTAATGTTTGACGGAAATTATTTCAATACAATTTATTATATTAAAAATTAAGACTTATGGCCATACCTTTAGGTTAAGCAATTGCCAAACTTCAGCTTCAAAATATTAATTTACAGTAAAAAAGTAGAATACTGCTGCGGATGACATGCTATGAAGTAGATTCTCATCTTGATGCTTATATTAGATTTACTTGAATAAATTAAAAGGAGTTCTATGCACACAAGGAGAGAGTGACAAATCCCTGTAGGTGAAGGACTAGTTTTTAGCAAAACTTATGTTTTTTTTAAACATACCCTTTTCAGATCAGAGACCAAACTTTCAACTGTAGTTACCAAACTGATTCTGTGTTTTCAACTATCTGCACAAAACTTAATCTGCCTACAAAAATAGGCATGCCTTAGACATCAGGTAGTCAAACAGCCAGAGTTAAGTTTCCAAATTCTTTCAGTTTGAATAATATAAAGTTTTATAAATATCTGAAGATTCTTTTCATAAACGCTAGCACTGGGGCCTAAATGTCCAATGTAGGTGCCAAAACTGTAGACAATTATTTGCACACACAAGTGCAATCCACTTAGAAAACTAATATCAACAAGTCAGGTAGTTAGATTTTTAAATGGCTGCTGTTGGTGGTGTAGACAGTTGTACCACTATTTAATATTTAGGCACAATTATTGGATGCTTGGTTGAAATCTAGTTAAAAATAAGAATATGATTTTTATCTTGATGATGTCCCTTTAAGATCCTGTGGAATCTCTTCTGAAAGAACTCGCTATTCCTAATCAGGCATTAACTTTTAATTGAAGTGACTTACATAAAGAATGCATGTTATTTACTCCGCCATCTTGTCTGCCACACATCCAAAGGGCACATACATGATACTCTGGATGAATGACAATCCAAAAATAGCAACTATGTGACTCTATGGACGTATATCTTCATGGCTGGCACCACAGAGTCTATGACAACCTTTATACCTAATACAGGTCTGTCTCATCTTATGCTGGGGTTACGTTCTGCAGTCAGCGCGTAAAGCGAAAACCGTATACAGTCAAAATTACATTGAGTGGAATGGCGGGCGAAATCGCCCACACTACAGGAACAGTATTTAAATTGTTATTTTTCTCTTTTTTGTTTTGTTTTTGCCGACCGCATAAAGCTGAATTTGCACATGTTAAATGCGCGTAAGATGCGACAGACCTGTATTACGTATGGCCAATTTTCTAGTGTTAGAGCTTTTATTTTTGTTATGAGGCCAACAACTTCAGCGCCTTTTCTGTTGTCATCAATATACATATTATATATGTATTTAATAACACCTATGAATGATGTGATTGTTCCTCTGTTGTCCATGAAGAATACATGAGGCTCAAACAGGAAAGGAGTGAAAGGCTTACTTTCAGATGGCATAATTCCCATTCTCAGGTGTCACACCTTTTTAATTATAGATGTTTGGAAGTGACTGGTATTGCATGAGACCTGTGCGTGTCCAGCAGTGGTGTGACATGGAATATATGTTTTGTTTTGCGTATATATCCAAGTGTTTTTACACCAATATTGATGTTGATTTAAGTACATTTAAATGCTATAGTGACATCTCCTAGAAGTTACAAATGGAAAAAAAGATCTAGGGCCTGATGCAAATTTCACTGATGTAAAGAAAGATTCATTGGGCTTTGGATCAAGCTTTTAGTGAGTCAGCTAGTTCATTCCTCTGTCAGTATACTCAACACTACCAAACACTTTATAATTACTGCAACAACAAAAAAAGAGGAAGTGAAAGGCTTTGAAACCCACAAATGGAAATTAGGTGAGGTATTTTAGAAAATAATCTACAGAATTTAAGAGCAAGACTTTCCCCTGAAACAGAATTCTAGCTGGTCTTTGTTATATCCCTTGAGTATTGTATAAGGACAGCTCAATTGGAAACTGAAATATAATAGTATGCAAAAATGGAAATCCTACTAATAAGGAAGGGCTTAGTGCAAGGGTGGGCAAACCTTTTGGCCCGAGGGTTAATTGTATGCAGGGCCATGAATGTAAGACTGGGGCAAGGGGTTGGGGTGCGGGGGGAAGTGCGGGGCGTGGGAGGGGGTGCGGTGTGCAGGAAGGGGCTCAGGACCAGGGGTTGGGGTGCAGGAGGGGTGCTGCAGGGAGCTCAGGGCAGGGGGTTGGGGTGCAGGAGGGGGCTCAGGGCAGGGGGTTGAGGTGTGGGGTGCAGGAGGGGTGCAGGCTCAGGCCTGATGCCGCTTACCTCGAGCAGCTCCAGGGTGGCAGCGGCACGCAGTGGGGCTAAGGCAGGCTCCCTGCCTGCTCTGGCCCCGTGCTGCTCCCAGAAGTGGCCAGCACGTCCAGCAGTGGCTCCTGGGGATGGGATGGGGCAGGCGGCTCCGCTGCATGCTGCCCTTTCCTGTGGGTACCACCCCCGAAGCTCCCATTGGCCGCGGTTCCCCATTCCTGGCCAATGGGAGCTGCACGGGGCGGAGCCTGCAGGCGAGGGCAGCACAGGGAGCCCTCTTCCAGCCACCTCCTCTAGGGGCCAGAGGGATGTGGTGCTGGCTGCTTCCAGGAGCGGCACAGGGCCAGGGCAGGCAGGAAGCCTGCCTTAGCCCTGCTGCACCACGGGGCTGGCAAGCCTGTGGGCCCGGATCTGGCCCGCAGGCCGTAGTTTGCCCTCCCTGACTTAGTGTAACATGGAAAATACCCTTCCCTTGAACTAATTAACTCAATTTTTCAGTAAGTAATCAACACCAACACAGATTCCAAATTAACAAGCACAATTTCGTTATTGTTTGCCTCTAGCTTTGGAATGCTATGTTGGGAAAGCTTAAGCAGACAGAAACCTTTTGAAGGTACGTATATCTCTCTTTCTTGATGGTTAATTATCTTTTTCTGAATTTATCCTCCTCTAAGCAACATTGATACCAACAGACCTGTCTTTTCAAACCTCGCTTTATCTCAAATCCCTATTACAGTGCTGGAAGGATTAATTTTTGATCAGTAAGTGTCAGTAAATATTGATTTCAATGTACACACAAACTAACAAAAATATTTCCAATGATAGTTGAAATTTACAGATAGGCAAAGTAAGAAAAATGCTGCTTGATAACTTATTAGAGTTTGATTTAAGGATATTTACTTTGTATATTTTGACATGTGATATTGGCAATTTGTGTTTGAATGGTTATAAAACTTTAGCTTTTTGAACCTCAACATCTACTGTCATTAAATTATTGTCTGACACTCCCATAATTTTCTGCAACTGTAAAAATTCGATACAATTGGGGAAAAATTAAAAATAAACAGTATTATCTGTCAAAATTATAAAAAAACAAATTCTGCCAACTGTGTATCCCAATAATGCCCAGTTCCATAGCTCTGCATCTCCTGTAGGGAATACAGTACTAGCCCCAAATGAAGATTCTTATTGTAAAAGCAACAGATACCTTCTCAGGGGTAGCTTTAATGGCATAGTTTTTACTATGTACTACCTAAGTCTGTTCACTGTAGCACCCTATTAAATTGTTATTTTGACCTTTCTGCTTATCTTTAATGCATAGCAACAGGTCTTTGGCTTGTGACACTCAGCATACTAACATCACAATCCAGCATACTGACATTAGGCAGCATTTTAGGGTATGTCTACACTGGAGCTGGAGAGTGTAATATCCAGATTGAGTGACACACCCGCGCTAGCCCTGATCCAACTAACACACTAAAAATTAAGTGTAGCCATGGCAGCATAAATGGTGGGAAGGGCTACATGCTCAAGTACAATCCCAGACAATCAGAGCTAGTGCAGGTAGGCCTACTCAAGCTAGAAATTATATCAGTGTAGACATGCCCTTAGTGGCAAGTAACTTGTCTAGTGAGTAGAACTGAGTCTTTATACATGTTTAAAAATCAATGAGAGTTTCAGGTCTCAAATAGGAACTTTTAGTTCTTGCTAGACTTATATTACTATAAAATATGCTACTTTCTGCATATTTTATACCACAAAATGAAAATGAGGAATTTTACAGAGTTGTAGATCTTTAAAGCACTGTATAATATACTGAAAATTATCCCCATTTTACCGATAAGGAAACTGAGGCAGTGGTAAATGATTTGTTTAACATGACACCCAGAGCTGAGAACTAGACTTTGGAGTGCTGATTCCTGTCCTGTTCTCATTCCTTTAAAGCATGGTGCCTTTTAACTTATAGTAAACATACTTTAAAAAAGGATCAGTTTCTTCTAGTCTCTCTTGAGTTCTATGAAAGTGACAGTGCTGTATCATGTTCCTGAATATGATCCTTCTTACTCTCCTTCTCTTACAGCTGATTGCTCTAACAATGAGATTTCAGTTTGAGCAATCATATGTGAAGAAGGTTGTGCCTCTGTACTTGATTATCAAACTACATTACAGTTAGTACTCTCCTCTATCTGGAAAATGGCAAGGGCTCCAGGTCTATCTACCTATGGGACTTTCTTTTTCACTACATGGTCCAAGGAAAGGAAACTATCTGCTTGCCTATGGTGCACTAAACACTACAGAACCCAAGAATCAGGGGTTTTGAAAGCAGCAAGATGTGGAACTTTTCCTGGCAATTGTTTAATGACTATTTCTATTAAATATGACTCTACAACAAGTCACATTACATTTGTATAGCACCTGTCATCCAAAAGGGCCCCAAAGATCTTTACAATTTAACACACACATTTATTTATGAGAATCACTTCACTCACTATCTCTCGAGTGGAACATCTAACTATTCAACGCACACTAACATTGCACAGCCCTTTTGGACAAAAAATGAAGGATCGCGTATCCAACTAAAATTGCAGAGGGAATGAAAGTAGGCAGGCTGCAGTTACCCCAGCGAGAATCTGGCCATTACATCAGGGCTAGCAAACATCCTTATTCTTACAAAGAGTGCCATGGGAACTTAAATGACCACAGGCTCATGATTTTACATCTCTTCAAATTTCCCTAGTGATTTATCAAGACATGCAGGGCTCCTGCAAAATTCATCAACAAATACCCCATACACCTCATTTTCCATATGTAATGTTCCACAAGTTCAGCCTTTCATTTTCTACTATGAATGAAGATGAGAATTACATACTTGTATATTTCAACCACCAGCCTGCTCCCAAGTACAGAATATGCAGGCGTATGCCATAGGGAGAAGTGAGGGGGGCAGCATGCTGTAATTTTGCAATCACATTTGTGAATTGTGTGTGTGTGTGTGTACACATGATGTCAGAATAAGCCAGTGTCTGCTGATCACAAGTCACCTAGCAGATTACTCTGTTTTTATCTACCTAACAGCTTTCATTCTGACAGACTTTACAGGCTGGGATTAAAAATGCTATATACAATATACTCATGCAAGGCGGTGCTTTCATATTTTTTCACTGCCATTTTGTAGCTGCCCAGAAGAATTAGATTCTTTTGTGCATAAAGGGAATAATTTGTTTAAAAATTTGCACGCAGAATTGCATACAGAACTGTATGGTTAGGCTGCACACACAGTAACTATAACTGCAAATAGGGTATTTGTGCATGCAGGTTACCAGTTATGCCTGCATATCCAGTTGTGACTTATTGCTTAAACAACCCTTCTAACCAGAAATAAACGGACTGCTGCCAGTAGGTATAAATGAGTATTGTCACAGTTGGTCAGCTTTACTTAAGAGTGTGTTGTTGGGTTTTTATTTTTCGTTTTTAAAGAGTAGACTTAGTTTTAAAATACAGAAAATAACCTGCACTAAACATCATCTTAAAATAGTTCTGAGGGTTTTAACTTTTAAATAACATGTTCTCATTCTCTTGCAGGCAAAAAAAACCTGCTGGAAGTTGTGACAGGAGTCTGTAGTGGCCTGCGGCCTGGGACTGAAGCAGAGTATATACAGAGCAATTTGCCTCAGAGAAACAGGCTGTTACAGCTCATCATACTGTGCTGGCACCAAGACCCAGATTACAGGCCCCAAACTGCAGGTAACATTCAGTATTTGCTCCCCCTTGTTGCCATCACAAACAGTCTGAGTGTCCTAAGTAATGCAGTGTTGTTGTAGATCTGAAGCTCTGTGTGAGCTCGAAAGCTTGTCTCCCTCACCAACAGAAGTTGGTCCAATCAAAGATATCGCCTCACCCACCTTGTCTCTTTAATGTCCTAGATCATTGTACAGTAATGATGGCACAATAGAATGTTGTAACCCCAGTGTGAGATGAAACAGTTGGGGCACTGTCACCAGCATACTGTAGTGTTTTGGTTTGGGTTTTTTTTTTTAAATAAGGATGCAGTGCCCTCCTCTAAGGTGGCTTAGTCAGTTCAAGATTTTTAGTTTAAATATAGTGTAGTAAATTTAGCATAGATAAAGGCTAGGAAATTACTGGAGATTGCCAGCTAAATTCAGTATTTGAAGAATGGCTGATTTACCTTTAACAGTCCCATCTCAAAGTAATCACCATTCCCACTGGAGCAAATCCCACTGTTGGTTAAGTCAGAGTAGCTATATTATACCATCTGAGGATCTAATCCTCTGTTTCTAAAAAGACAGCCCTGAAACATGAATGATAAACTATGGCCAAGATTTTTCAGACCTGTACACAGAAGTGTCCAACTAGCCATCCGCACATGCTTTTACTGTGATTGCTTTGTGCAGTCATGAATAAATTAGGTACAAATTTGCAGGTTTTTGTGTGCACATTTCTGAAAATCTGATCCTAATTTGTTTATATTAGATCAAAAAATAAAACTATATAAGGCAAAGTTACTTAGAGGTGATTTAAAAGATTTTAATATGATTGCAACAGAATAATAAAATCAGTGGAAGCACATTGGTGCATAGATATTTGCTTATTTGGATATGTATACATCCTGTATTTAAAATGCATTTTTCTTCCCACAGAATGTGTGGAACTCTTAAGGAGAATTTTGAGTGCTTTTAGCAAGGAGAAGATTTCCAGTGCAATCTACAGTTTGATTGATGCAAAGGTTAGTGCAAAATTCAGATTTGGTCCCATACAATTGCATTGCCTGCTTTTCGTGATTACCATCTTTGAAATCAAACAGGAATTTGTCTCTTTGTTATTGCTTCAAAAGGGCTATAAGTTAAAATTTCAAGATCAGTCCCTAAAAGCGGATAGAGCTAAAATACGTCAATCCAAGATTTAAACTCAGCCTCAAAAGTTTAATCCAGGATTCACAAGTGAGACTCTCCATACTGTATTACTGATAAGTATGCATGAGTCACAGACAGTTGGAGGGCCCCCTCACACTGTTCTTTCAGCAGTAGCAAATAGAAGGATGGTTCTAGGTTAACCAGATGTGTTAGTGCACTAGCCTGTCATCTCTGAAGTCCCCAAGTCAGTTTCTGTCTGAGGTTACTTGTAAAATGCAGCTTCATCCTAGTATCCATTCCCAAGATCAATCAGACCACAACATAGCTGTGAGTGAATATTAGTCTCAGTTACATCAGGTCCAGGTCTGGGACCGCAGAGCAATCTCTCATGTCAGGATTGAGATCAGTTGTCAGTACAGCCTGGAGGGAAGGTAGCACAGGATACTTATGCAGCTGGGATTTCTCATGTTACTAAACTCACAGTCTGTGAAGTGAAAAATGCGAAAAGTCTCCTGGTTTTATCTCACTTGTGCTGGATTCTGACTTGATGAGAATAGTCTTGCATCCCAGATTTTGGGAGATTTTTTTAATATCTCTTCCGAACTCAAAGTTGTAGAGGCTGCAATTTGAGAAATGGGAGGTGTGATTTGCGGAAGACCAGATGTAGAAGTACCCCATAAAAGGAGAAGGAGCTCCCAAGCATTGGTCTTTGTGGTGGCATGACATTTATGACGTGATTTTGTAATGCACCGAAAAAGCCTGTTTTCCCCAACGCCCACAGTGATGAGTATGAAATAAATACCTGTAGAGAAAGGCAAAACAACCCAATATTGTTTCAGTACGTAATAGAACTGTACTCTGGTTGATTTTACTCCTAGCTGCAGATCATGTGGTGTATGTGCCTGATATTTTGGCAGAACCTCCATGAATATTCAGTGTATGATTTTTTTTAGTTTAATTTGAACTGCATGTTGTGTATATTTTACTAAGTTAGTGGGGTTTTTTTGTTTGTTTGTTTCAGGAGAGAGCAGTAAATGCCTGCAAAGGCTCAGTTCCACACATGCTTCAGACACATGTGCACAATCTAGAGGTGAGCAAATATATGGACTTGGGGAGGAAAGTTTTTCAAGGGTATCTTAGTCCCATTATCAAAAGTGACTTAGGCACTTAGACTCCCTTAGGGAGTCTGCCTAGTAAGGGAGATCTTTTCTATCAAGAAGCTAGAAGTAATTTCTTATCCATTTTCATCCCTGTCAGGTCATCTGTGCACAGAAAAACAGCAACCGGCTTATCGACAAGAGTGTCCATCTAACAGCACAGAGATTGTCAACTGTTCTTGACAGCCCTGCAGGAAGAGAGAAGGCTAATCAGATGGTACTTGCAGATATCACAGCGCCAAACACAACACAAAAAAAAGGTATGTAGGACTGATCATCTCAAGATGTTTTTACCTCCAAGTACTATAAAAATATTAAACAATTACATATTGTCTCAGTATCCATAAAAACATGCCAAATGTCTCCCTCTTTGGAGTGCAACTGTGATATAACTCTGGATATAACCAGAGCAACAGATTTCTCTGCAGTAGCAAGAGTCTGCCCTGAGAATTGCAGCGGTGCAAGATTTTTGCAACCATTCCTCCACAGGGAGAACTCACAACTAGCCAGTGTATTCCCATACGTGAGTGGACATTCAGTGGGTTCGGTGGTGTAAACCAGACAGCCATAGAATTTGCTGATTTAGTGTACACCCTCCTGAACACCCTCCACCAGTCAGACACCTGTGGCACTCTGACTACAACTTAAAGCTGCCCTTCTCTGGCATTCCAAGAACTGCCTGCTCTTCCCCAGAGAGCAAATCCATCCTGGGTCTAGTGGACCCTGCTGGAACAGAGAGGTGCAATTTCTTTTGCCTTTGCCACCATGAGTGAATCTAGCCCTCTACCAAGGCCCTCAATCACCACAGTACTTTTCTCTACTTTCTAATAGCTGCTGTCAAATGTCTCCACATTAGAAAGTAATTGCTTTGGAAGAGTCCCATCTCTTCAGAAGTCCACGAATGATTCATATTAGCCACTCCTACCTACCATATCCTTCCATTTTTTCACTGTCGGCTTGTCTTGGCAAATGTTTGACAAAGTATTTAAATCCACGTGCATTTCGTGTATATAAGCGGATTGGAGGTGGGTTTTGTTTTGATGGTTTTGTTTACAAGATCTGAGCCACAGAAAATCTATTATCGATCTTTGGTAACCTCTGAATACATGGAACTTATGATACAGGTTTTTTAATACTTAGTACTGAAATAGATTACTGTTCCTTTTGGGAAAAACAGGATTTTCCTCAACTTCATCCACAAATTTACAGTAGTCCACAACTATAATCAACAAGTTAAAAGGACACTGACAACTTAGATGTAGCCCAAAGTTTACATTTTAAAAAAACTTTTATAAAATCTACAACCCAAAGAAGAGTTTCTAGAATTAAATCTCAGTTGAAACATTTGACCTAGACATTCAACTGCAATGTTATTAGTTTATTTGTATCAAGGATGCTCCATCAAGGACCAGGGCTCCATTGTGCTAGACGCTGTACAAACATATAACAAAAAAAGTATTGTAGTTCTTTGGTGGCAGGAACAAAGTATGAGACAATATTCAAGATTAAATTAAAAAAAATCCACTTTTAATTCAGTAACCCATGCACATTCTTTTTGCAATATATGATTTAAGTTTAGTGTCCCTTATACATTTCTAATTTTACAAATAAAAATGTATTATTTGGCCGTATACAACAGTCCCATTATGTGTAGTGTAACAGAGGTGGTATGCTGCATGAAAAGATGATGCTCCGCTCCTGGGAATTCATCATCCATACTCTTGCATAAAACAATTTTCTTAAAAGTGTGAGAGATGGAGTATGTACATAATAAATGTAAAAACTTCATAAGAGGGAGGATCTAGCAGCAAGTGTTCACAGGATGTAATATTTACAGACAAGTTAGTCCTCTAACCTCTGTTTAAATTAGAGATCCAGAACTATCCATTGATAAATCTCTATTATGTTCAGCTGTAGTCCAATTTAAAAGTCTTATCTCACCCATCTTTATTTGTTCCCAGCTCATCCAGGTAGTAGAGAATCAGCTCTGCAGCATTCCTTTCCCACTCCTTGTACCTCTGATCCACATGCAAGCAGAGAAGATGGTGGTCATTGTCAAAGGGACCCAAAGCTGTGGCAGCAGCAGCCACTACAGTTATCGCTGCCACCTGAGCACAGTCCCCATCATAGCCAATTTCAAAGCACACAGTGTGAACAAACATTAACAGGTGAGATTCCAAAGAAAAGTTTGGTTCAAGAACCAGAAGCTCCTGGCAATGTGGTATAGTAATATTTTATTTTGCCACACTTTAGCCAGTGTTTCAGATAAAAACTGTACTTTGGCCATATTCTTGTGTATTTACTGGTAATTAGTGTAATTCCTCTGAAGCTGGTACTTACCATTGTAAGAAACAGGACACTGGACTAGATGGACCATGGGTCTGTTCCAGGGTGGCAATTCCTGTGTTACTAAAAGCTCAGACTTTGGCCTTCAAAGCCAACTTTTGTTCAGAATAGGCACATTGTTCAGAAGTGGACTTTCACTGGAAAGGGGTCTAAAGAAAAACCTCACAAAATATAGCAAGTTTTATGGTGAAATAGGCCCACTGAGTTTATAACAAATGGGGAAAAAAATCCATTGTATGTGGTTTAACCTTTCATTGTGACAACTTCAAATATCTCCAGCAAGGTAGTTCTTGGGGTTGCAAAAGGTTAGTTGGAAAAATACTTCCCTTCCACCTCATTTTTATATTTTCTTTGGGCAAGTAGACTAATACTCTCTAGACATAGCTAAACTTCTTTACATAACAGTTATACAGATGATAGATTACCAGGATCAGACCTGGGAATCCCCTCCCCTTAAGTCATCTCACTCACTAAATATTATTTTCTGTGGTCTGGGTCTATGATCAGTGCTAGTTTTGAATAGAGACTGCAAGTAAATGAACTCTTCATCAGCTCCTATTGCTCCACTGAACTTACATTTCCATTAGTCACTTCATTCTTGACATTAATGCTGCCACTAGCTAACAGTTTCATGAAAAAGTCTGACAGTTTGGTGTATCTAAATTTGTTCCTTTTATTCAAGGTCCTTGCTGCAAAGGCAACTGCTGCCAGATCCTAGCCTGTGGGCGACAGACTATCTTGAGCTGCATGACAGAAGGGCGCCTCAACCACATTCTTGATGTCCTTCGCTCCCAGCGAGTGTTGTCTAAAATGGACTATGAAATGATCACCTCTTTCCCCACCCTGACCAGCCGCGCTCGTGCTTTGTTGGACACTTGCCTCTGCCTTGGAGAGAGGGCAGCTCAGATTGTAGTGACTGTGCTCTCAACTAGCAAATGTAGCCCTCTGGCACGAGGCAGCCATATCACAGACAGCTCTGCTAAATTAAATAGACGACTGCAGTGACTTAAGTTATTTTTCATGGCATATTTCATGGACTGGTGCACTGGTAACTTGGCATGACATTAATTCATGTTCATTTCTCATTACCCACTGACTAAAAAGTCTGTTCCTTTTCCTACTGCTCAGTGACTTTAGTCCTCTAAGAGTTCAAGATACCCATTGCCTGCAGAAATAACAGAGCCTGGTAATATATATTCCAACTTGGACCTCCGAGATGGTAGGATTATGGGAGTATGCCAGAGTCTAGTTCAAGTCACATGTCACTTATTATTTCCTGGTTTCTTAATGGAGGTAAATTGATTGTGACTTATTGGTGGATGGTTGAGAGGAAGACTGATGCTAAGCTCTTCCAACTCTGAAAGGCACTTAAGGATGGGCTGCTGCCTGGGAAGGAAGAAAGAAGTTGCTTTTGCCAACAGCCAAGCAAGCTGTCACAGTGAAAGTGAAAAGCATTAAGGAATAAGTTTTCAGGATCGCTTCAAACGAGCCTCTGAAATTTACCATCTTGCAAACTGAATCATTTTTTAAATTTTTCTTGCACAAATGCTCATTTGTCCTTGTACAATGGTACACTACATTTAGCAGGTGCAAATTCAGAAACTCTTTTGAAATAAAATGGCCATAAACAAGTTAAAGTTACCTGGATACAGCATGTTAATGTTGTTCAGTTTATGAACGATACAGGTATACAATGTGAAGGTAAGCTGCGAGATAAGAGGTGCCAAACTGGCCACTTTGGAAGGACAGTTCCATTGAACTAGAAATAAAGATACGAACATCAAATATTATCTTAGTTAAAATGAAAATGAAGTGTGCAAGGTGCCTCCATTACAAAGCACAGTAGGATGCCTGCAATATTCACGGCACTGGATAAGCCCAAGAACATTATCATTACAAGATGTATAGATATTTCAGATGCCAAGCTACATTGTTTTGTTTCACTACATTGCAATTGTTCTTTTCATTTCCAAGATGTTCAATTAATCCTGTGGTTTGAAGTGTTGGAATCTTAAATGCAGGAGTGGAGTATTTTAAGGCATATTTATACAAGGGATTATTTATTCCACCTGATATAATTTAAAACCACTAGCTTTAGAAGTTTTAAAATCAACATTTTAGAAAATTCAGTCAAACTGTCTTAAGGCTGCTTTGTGACTATAAAAATGGCTAAAATTTAAAGCAGTGTCAAAGTGTGTTAGAAATGTCATTTTTTACTTTATTAAGGGGGGCAACTTTCTAGCTCCTAGAAGTTTAATGTTTCATGCTACATTTTAAATGAGAGACTTCTGTTTCTCCAACAGACCACAGAACAGCTTTTGGTACAACATAGGGCTCTTGTCACTGGTCAAAAAAGGAACGAGTCCCTCCACTGTATTCCTTCCTTCTGTGGAAGAAAGCACAATTGTCAAGACTTAAATATCAGGTATCAGGAATCATTCCATTCAACTGTTGTACTGGAGTTTTTAAACTTCTACATAACATTGATGGGGCAGTAGACAACCCTAGTTTATGATATATTTTGAAATGAGTGCCTGATTTTAATGCATAACTTAGTCTTTGTCCACCCATATCCTCAATCAGTCTCTGAAAGATTTCAGATATGCACAAAACTTTCACTTCTGTTTACTTCCATGCAGTTACAGAGAACCTCAGCAACCCATACTAACGTTTTTTCTGTAAGTTAAGTGAAAACCATTATACAAATATCTATTAATATAATAGATTTACTTCCTAAGTGGTCTTTTAAATGTTTAGCATCCTCAGAAATAAAGCAGACCGAGTGGATAGAAATAAATAGCCAGAAAATAATACAGATTCATCTTCAAAAAATGCAGTCTAATGCATCTGCTGAAAATCTGAACCCCAGAGATGCAATGTGGGACAAACTAGATAAGCAGTAATAGTGACCAAGAGACCTGTAAGTGGCGGTAGTGGACAGCTAATTGCACATGAATTTGTAGAGCCCTGCATGGATATAAAATTTGTACCCGCTTGCAATCCATAAAAAGGATCTGCGGATGTGGATTTCCATGGATATAAAGCGGATACCTGTGTATTTGAGGAGCTCTATGAATTTGCAATGTGATATAGCAAGACAAAGGGCTAGTGCATTTTGGGACTGAGTACACAGATTTCATGTAATGGAGTCTGACTGTTGTATTCCCTTCTATATGATTTTGGCGCGACCACAACTGGAATATTACATTAAGCTCTGGGCATCCAATTAATGGACAGATGTGGCCTGGAGTCCAGACAAGAGCTACTGACATTAAAAAGATTAATGTGAGGACTGAGGGAGAGGAGGAAAATAATTGTTCACAGATACCTGAAGGATGTAAATACTAAACACCAAGATGGAAAAGGGATTATCAGGTACGAGAGGGTATTGTGACAGATATGGCAATTTCCTGCAATATCCTTGGAATTCCTTATTGTATTACGTTTATGTATTATTGCAGGCCAAGATAGTATGTAACCTCACTATGGGGAAAGATGTGAGACCTGGAAGTTCAAAAGACTATATTCAAAATGTGCTGGTCATGTATGGACTTCTGGGACAATAAGTGTTAAGTGGGGAAATTCCTAGGGAGAGGTTAATGTAAATTCCCCAACTCTGGTTATGCAATACCCCAGCCTTTGGAAGCTACCCCTGGAGGAGAGGGTCATTGTCTGCTGATTATTTGTTACAGAAGGCTGGGGTCAAAGGTCTGAGCTGCATAAGGAACAGCTGATATACCCAGCCTTTGGGTCTGGTTCTGGCTCTAAGGCAGGTCCATGCAGAAAACCCATGTTGTGGGTTTTGAACCACTGAAATCTACCAGAGCCTTAAGTTAGAATTGAGGGTGACCTCTGGTAAGCTTTTTAGTATGCATATAGGTTTTGTTATTATTTTAATCTGTTTTCTCTGTTTCTGAACAAACATGTTTATTCTTAAGGTTAAAAGAGCCGTATGGTACCTTGTAACTGCTGGCAATACACTTTTCATAGCCCTCGGAGAAAAAGCAAAGCGCAGGTGCTGGTGTTTTTAGGCAGTCTGGCTTGTTGGGGATATCAGTGTAAGCAAGGGAGCTGTACAACCTTAAAATCTCCAGTACAGAGGGAATGAGATACGGGTCTCCACCCAAAAGAGGTGACTGCTGGGAGTCAGAAATCTTTAAATGCATGCCCTTGAGGGACCACAGGTGCAGTTACTGTACTTTGAAACTGGCATATGATGGCAGCATCTGTGGGATCTATGACAGCGTGAATTGCCAAAGTGCCAACAGTAGTGAAAGCAAGTACCATAGAAGGGAAAAGCACAGAGAAAAGTCTCAGTCTTTTCAGGAAGGGAACAGCAAAAAGAGAGATGGGAAAATGAGTTATAAACAGCTGAGAAGTCAGCTAGTCAGTGTGGAGGAATATACTCTAGGCTTCCTGGGAAAAGCCATTTAAAATCATCGAACAACTCAATGAGGTGAACTATGATGGTGGGGCCATCTAATTGCTCACATTGGCACCCAATATCATGTGAACGTGATAAAACCTTTTTATGACAGTGTCAAAAGATCCTTTCACTGATAGGGGCACCTCCTCCTGGCTGCTCTGGGAATTAGCTCCTTCCAGGAACTGCACCCTCCTCTGGCAGTCTCTCCATCCTTGGTCCTCTCTCTCTCTGACGCTCCCTTTTCTCCAGGAACTGCAGCTTCCTCTTCACAACCTGTCCCTCCTCCCAGCTCACTATGGTCCTCCCATTCCAGGGTATTAAAGTCTTCCAAGGCAAACTGTCCCAGGCAGTCTACTCTGCTCCATGTCACTTCCTCTGTGGCTGATAGGGGAACTTGGGCCCACCCCCTACACTGGGTTCCCTATCCCCTGTGGCTGGTAGGGGAACCTGGGCCCACCCCCTACTCTGGGTTCCCTACCCCATACCTTGCTGCTTTTCCCCTGAGCCTTTCCTCCCCCTCTCTGGGTTTACCAGCCCAAACTCCTTCCTCCCAGGGAGCAACTGTAGGCTATCTATCTCTATAGCCCCAAACACACTTCCCTTCCCCCAGGGAGCAACTGCAGACTACTTCTCCGCAGCCTCCTCTACTGCCAATATCCTGTCTTTGTACATCCAGCCATGCTATTCCTCCTCAGCTGGGCTCCCTCACTCAAGTCAGGGGATTACTTAGCCACTTGATTCCCCTCAGCTCTGGCCTGTTGGGTTAATCAGTCCCCTTCTCAATTTGCACTAGCACTTTCAGGGCAAGTGTGCAGTAAACACCCCATAACAGACAGAGAATCTGGCCCTGGCCATTTGCAGCACTAGGAGGAGAAGGGAGAGGATCCCCTCATAGATCTGGCAGCAGAAACAGGGACCAGCTGAACTCTGCTGGCTGAACTCCATAGCCTTCTCTGATCACTTAACCCAAACACAGCAAGCAGAGATCAAGGGGGTGTTGCAGGCTTATCAGCAGGTATTTTCCAGTAAGCCTGGATGCACTTCACTTGTTGTCCACTGGGTGGAGATAGGAGCCAAGGCTTCAATCAAAAGTGCACAGTTCAGGGTTACTGGGAAAGCAGCCCAAAGCATGGAGAAAAAAAAAATCACTAGCATGCTGGAATTGGGGGTGATCCAACAGTCAAGTAATCCATTTGCCTCCCCGGCTATTCTAGTACCTAGGAAGGATGGGTCAATTAGATTGTGTGTGGATTACAGAAAGCTGAATACATCATTGTGTCTGACACATACACCATGCCCAGGACAGATGAAACACTAGACAAATTGAGAGGGGCCCCAATTCCTGACCACAATTGATCTCACTGAAGATTATTGGCAGATGCTTTTGGACCCAACTGCTAGGCTCAAATAGGAATTTACCACCCCCATAGGGCTCTTCTGAGTTCTTGGTCCTACCTTCTGGCCTCAAGGGGGCCCTGGCTACCATCTAGTAGATTGGATACTGGATATGATGGAGGAGTTTGCCCTGGTATATATAGATGATATTACTATTTTCAGTCAGACTTGGGAAGAGCATGTGATCCACATAAGGAGAGTGCTTCACAACATTCAGGCAGCAAGCCTGACTGTAAAGGTGGAAAAATGCAAGATGGAGATGGCATAAGTGGCCTATCTTGGCCATAGGGTTGGGGTTGCTCTGTCCAGGAAATAAGTCAATGCATTCCCCTAGGATGCCAGTCAAACCACTCTAGTTATACCCATTCTTCAGGGGAGAGATGTGACAGATATTACAGCTTCCTGCAATATCCTTCGACTTCTTATTATATTAAGTTTAGGTATTATTGTGGGTCGGAGGGGAAAATACAGGTGCAGTTACCATGAAACTGTGACAAGTATCACCAGTAGTAAAATGCAGCACACTTTTCTCTGTGACAAACTGAGGCAATTTCTGGATTCAATTATTCTTGGGATGAGTTCCTCACAATTTGAAAATCCTTTATTTGATGTCAGACTTGAGGCCCAATGCTACTCCCTGGAAGTCAACTACAAACTCGCTTTGATAGTAATGGGAGCAGGAGTGGGCCTTGGTTACCCATCCAAATTCTGTGCTGTTCAGACTGGGCCCTACAATTTTAAATATTCTTGACAGAATGTGCACTTATGCAGCCATTGGGCGTTCACTACCACCCTTTCATCTCCCTTATGTCAGTGTATTTCAACTGAAGTAAAGAGACATACCAGCATAAAACTGGTAACAGAATGGAGAATCAACCTTACTATTCTCTTTGTTATAAATTAAGTTAAATATTAACAAGGTATATCCTGTATGCGGGAAGCTGGACACTCTGAAAAGCAGCTGTATAAAACTAGCAACTTCTTAGTCAACAGATCAGCTCCCAGTTTTATATGATGCCATAGTACACAAAGATACATTTTTTCCCAAAGCAGCTACACATTATCATCAAACTTTGAACAGACATCTTTCTTTCAGAAAAAAACTTTTCATGCTGTTGCAGGCAACTCATCTACCATTAGCATAGCTGTAGAATATGAGAACAAGCTAGGAAGGGTTGAAACTACATGGAATTTCATTGCACGTTATCTAAGTGACACTGGTATTTTAACATAGATATGCTAATTGAAGAGATAGGTAATTTAATCAGGGCCAGGAAGTTTATAGAAGTGTATGACTCGGTATAGCAAACTTCTTTAGTGTCTCATGCACAAGTGAACTCCTTTGTCATTGTCTGCCTCCTGGTTGATGTGCATAACATGTGACTTTGCATCCTTCAATTTTCCTTATGGAAGCAAACTTCTTATAGAATAAGGCAGAGAACACACTAGGTGCAACTAGGCAAGGCATCAAGTAGACACTTTCAAGATAAAATATTTACATATACTTCAAAAAAGCCATTGTTATCGTAGACCCAACAAGCCTAGTATACATGGCACCAAGTTATACTCCGTCAAAACACGTTAGCTTGGAGATTCACAGGATCTAAGTTATTGTAGAATTTGGCCCAATTCAAGTATTAACAGACCGACACATTAAGCTTCTGAAGAGAGAATATGACAGTCACATTCAGATTGAAAAGGCCATTTGTTTTCAAGCAACTACCCACTGCCCCTTCAGTGCCAATTTAGCATTTTTAAAATACATAAATGGTACATGCAAGTGAGGTTTGGCGCTCAGGTTTGCTGCAACTTGTCTGTGAAACTGCTAGGACCAAATAGGTTAGGAACCTGAGGTTTATTGTGTTTTGGAATTAGCTGTACAAAAATTACACAAACAAAAGTATGTTACATTTTCCACAAAAATTCTGCAAAAAACCCAAATATTAGAAAGCCCAGAAATGAGCAGACGGGGATTCAACCACTTCCCCACTGCCTAATCCTTCTTTACATGCTAACATCTCAACCAAAGCAAGTTAATAGGTGATTATGAAATCACATTTTGGTATTTCCAGTACACTATAACTAACATTTCTTACCTCCAAAAATTGATAGTTAAAAATAAGTCACACTCTTACATAGAGCTGTATCATCCTACAATCACATCCCATACCACCAACCAAACAGATCAATCATGTCATTTCCATTCATAACATTATTCTACTCATAAATCCTGGGACCATATGTGATAATTCATAGGAGTTTGTTGTTGGGTTGCTGTTATGTCTGGCCCCTTTTTTTTTTTGGCAGGGGGGAAGCTATGGTTGGGGTTGACAAATCAAGTTTCTCTTGATAATATAGCGTCAGCCTCATTATGGTCAGGTTACTGCTTCTCCATAATATGGATCCTAACTAAGGTTGCCAACTTTCTACTCACACAAAACCAAACACTCTTGCCTCGCCCCTACCCCGCCCCTCCTCTGAGGTCCCGGCCCCTCCCTCTGTTGCTCGCTATCCCCACCCTCACTCACTCGCTTGCTCATTTTCACTGGGCTGGCTCAGGGGGCTGGGGTGCGAGAGGACGTGAGGGCTCTGGCTGGGGGTGCGCGCTCCAGGGTGGGGCCAGAAATGAGGAGTTCAGGGTATGTGAGGGGGCTCTGGGCTGAGGCAGTGGGTTGGGATTCAGGAGGGGGTGACAGCTCCAGCTTGTGGTATAGGCTCTGGGGTGGGGCCAGGGATGAGGGGTTTGGGGTGCAGGAGGGGACTCCAGGCTGGGGATGAAACTGAGGGGTTCAGAGTATGGGAGTGGGCTCTGGGCTGAGGCAGGGGGTTGGAGTGTGGGAGGGGGTATGGGCTCTGGGCCGGGGGTGTGGGTTCTGGGGTGGGGCCAGAAATGAAGGATTCAGGGTGCGGGAGGGGGCTCCAGGCCGGGAGTTGGGGCATGGGGGGGGGGAGGGTGTGGGCTCCAGAGTGGGGCCAGGGATGAGGGATTTGGGGTGCAGGAGGGTGCTCCGGGCTGGGACTGTGAGATTCAGAGGGCAGGAGGGGGATCAGGGCTGGGGCAGGGGGTTGGTGCACAGGGGGGGTATGAGGGATCCAGCTGTGGGTGCGGGCTCTGGGATGAGAGGTTTGGGGTGCAGGAGGGTGCTCCAGGCTGGCATCGAGGGGTTTAGAGGGCAGGAGGAGGATCAGGGCAGGGGCAGAGGTTTGGGGTGCAGGAGGGGTTACAGGCTCCGGGTGGTACCTCAAGCAGCTCCCAGAAGTAGTGGCATGTCTCCCCTCCAGCTCCTACGTGGAGACGCGGCCAGGCAGCTCTGCATGCTGCCCTGTCCACAGGCACTGCCCCCGTAGCTCCCATTGGCCATGGTTCCCGGCCAATCAGAGCTGCAGAGCTGGCGCTTGGGGCCCCTGCTGCCCCTATGCATAGGAATCGGAAGGGGAACATGCCGCTGTTTCCTGGTGCTACGCAGAGCCATGGCAGGCAAGGAGCCTGCCTTAGCTCCACTGAGCCGCCGACCGGACTTTTAATGGCCCAGGGTCCCTTTTCGACCGGGCGTTCAACCTGACACCTGGCAACCCTAATCCTAACAAATCTCTAAAATTGATTCAAGTTACTCACAGCTGGGATAGCAGTTAACCAATCCAATAAAAACATAAGAGTGATCAGACTGGGTCAAACCAATGGTCCATCTAGCCCAGTATCCTGTCTTCTGGCAGTGGCCAGTCCAGATGCTCCAGGGAAATGAACAGAACAGGACAATTATTAAGTGATCCATCCCATCTCCCAGTCTCAGCTTCTGGCTGTCAGAGGTTTAGGAATGCCCAGAGCATGGAGTTGCACCCCTGACCATCTTGGCTAATAGATGGACCTATCCTCCATGAGCTAATTCTTCTTTGAACTCAGTTATGCTTTTGGCCTTCACAACATCCCCTGGCTACAAGTTTCACAGGTTGACTGTGCATTCTATGAAGAAGTACTTCCTTATGTTTGTTTTAAACAATGCAGTCAAGTGTAGCCTTTCACCTGTTTCTACCAATGTTTAGAGATTTTCACCCACCCGTGCATTTTTCTTGAGTAATGGAACACACAGTGCTGGATATGCACAGTGCATTATTTTCAATCATTGATAACTTTATTTCAAAACCAAATTATTTCACATATGCTGAAAATACCAGTCATGATTCAGATCTCCCAACAGCACAAGTCTGAGGTTAAGATAGAGTTCTCCCAATGAAAAGCAAAAGTTGTACTGGTGACAGTGTCTACTTATGTTCAAATAATCCTAAAATTGTGGAATAGATTTTTTCTTAAATATTTTATTCATAATTTAACTCTACCACAGGTAGGGTCAGAATCTGCCACCCTTGTTCACAGATTGCAAATGTTACTCCACAAGAATGAAATCACTGAGTCTATTTGCATAGTAGATTACTACTCAGCATCAGTAAGTGTGGCAGAATCAAATCTTTCATTTTTGTCTACTGGAAGAAATAAGGCTTAGAACTGAAGCACAACTAAAATTTAAGAAAATAGTATCAAATCTATTTAGGTCTGCAAATCACCAAAAGGAAATAGAAAAAGCTACTCCAGAAAACAAGTTAGCGATGTTTCTAAAATGCCATTAAGGAGATTATGTAGGATAAAACTGGAATTATATAAAAGTATAAGATTTTGTAAAAAGAAGAAACAGTTAATTTTATTCAAACTTTATTGAGTTTCTTAGATTTATTAAATGAGAAGAGAATGTTCCAGAAAGTCTTTGGTTTGATCATAATAAATTATTTTCCATAATATTCATAATCTGATTCTTAGCAAATCTAAGTTTTA